ACATCAGCATTTTTGTGTTAACTTTTGTAGGCCCAGCCATGAATGTCTCACATGAGAGTACAAGCATCAGTTTGTGATTCATTTAACCAACTTCAGAGGGTCAACAGTCAGTTTTCCGAGAAGCAATTGATTGAAAAAAGTGTGCTTGGGTGTGCGTGTAAGTTAGGTCAAGTTTTATTGAGTCGCCTGACCGTGTGTCCCGCTAACTAGGAGCATCTGTCCTATACTCCATGTCTTTGACAGGCTCCAGCCATGAGCGTCTCCCAGGAGAAGCTTCAATTTGACACCGTTTTGACCAACATATGGAGACAGCAGTCGATTTATCCATGTGCTAAAGATTTAACATTCACTCCATGTTATAATTGGAATGATTTAACCCTTTTATCGACCATAAACAATAACTATTGAACCCACTTCAAGCAGCTACCCTGTGAGACATGGACATCTGTGGGTACATCACACTGCAGGTCCAGTCAAAGCTTTAGCGGTGCATTTAATGAGCACCCAAACAAAGATGATGTAAGTAACACAATCATTAAACCAACACAATGCCAAAGTCTCTGTCTCAAAGTTGATCTTCTCTCCTTTTGCGGATAATGATACCGGCAAAGGTTTGCAAATATAGAATCAGTCTATAATCGCAGGTCTTTTAAATAGGGCAAAGCGGCGCTTGCGGGGGCATCTTTACCATGTCTAATGTTCACAATCCCTTCATGTACTTTTACTTCTTAGGTCTATTCTGTACATCCCAGACATGGGAGACGAAGAGTTACCCGACTATAGAGAAAGGCTGTCGATGATCAGTGTCAAGCCTTATGACTGTAAACATAAATATTTTCATGACATTATGTGCCACGATTTCTATCGCCTAAACATACTCATGTATTACATACTAGGCCCATCTGCCCTACAGCCTCTGTTTTTATGCATATCCCTCTGTTTTATTTATTTCCTCTAGTTGGACCGGGTTTAAAGAACTGCTAAAAACATCAGAACCAGATACACGAGTGGATTTGCATGAGAGTCTCACACATCCTCTTTTTCATTTCGGTCCAAATTATAAATCAGTCAAAATCTCTGTCATTGCACACAACATTCTTGAGATTCTTCAGCTTCTAGTCAAACGACTGCATGGAGAAGTGTGACTGGAATATCTCATTCGTAGCCTACAGACAGACAAAACAAAGAAGTCACTCACCTTGAGGCAAGATTCTTGGAAATCCACTCAGTGATCTGTGTGTTTTCAGCTGAGAATCATTGAGTGTCGGAAGAGATTCATGTTGTTGCAACTGGAACATTTGCTCCAGTTTCATGAGTCTTGAGATAGAACAGCATATGCAGGCATTTTCAGATATAAAATGGCATAAGATGTCCATGTTTAAATTTAGATATTCAGGGGAGAAAAAGGACTTATTCTATTGACCAGTCAAGGCCACATATATAACTGTAGTTCCATGAATCCATGTGGAATGCATTGGCCGTATCTGCACACTTTTGAACACTTAAATCACTTAAAAAACATTTGAATGTCATTGCATTAGATAGGCTACATATCATCTGATGGTGCTAGAGAGATCTCAGAGCTACTATCACTTTTCAGAATCTTAATTGGTCTGTGCTGGTTTGTACTTTGGTGCTGGTCTACCTGGTGGACTAGGACTGCCATTTTGTTAGCTAGCAAAATCTTAAAAAGCCTTGCATGCCGTGTGTGTTTTTACCAGAGGATTTCAAGACATTTTTTAAAATAGATTATGTGTCCAAAACCTTTTATGGCCATTTTAGACTTTATTTAGGCACATTTTTTATGCCCATAATCTTAAAATCACAGCTTGGCAAGCTTTAAACCTAACAGCTTGGCAAGCTTCTTTAGCACTTGATTCTATAGTACCTCTTGTAATTTATTTCCAGCGACGGCACTGCAGGTATTTACTTTAATTCAAAAGGTAATTTCTATTTATATGTGCTTGAACAGTTACATTAATGCTCTCTTTTGAAATGCATACCTCTGAAAATGCCTTGCAACAAAAGGCTTGTGGAACAGCAAGTCAAAGCATTGATTTAGATCAGCAGGTAGCGTTTTTTGACAATGTGATGGATGCCTTTGTCTAAAACTGCTCTATATAGCATATCGCAGTATATGTTTAAAAATATTCATTAACAAATCATACAAGTTTTGAACAACATGAGGGTGAGTAAATGATGAAAACATTTTTATTTTTGGATGAACTATCCATTTAACTCCTTTTAATTCCCAGTATTGGACATCCAGTACTGAATTCAGATCATGTCATTCCAAGAGCAGCTTGAGATGGAGCCATCCACAGATGGTCAGTGTTGTGTAAACCCAGAGCACAGTGAACCGGGAGGGTGAACGGGCCAGGTGAAGGGTCCACAGAGAAAGGATGTATACATTCAAATGGGAGAAGGAGCACCAGCTGGCATCTGGCAATCTAATATCAGCAGCTGCCCAATCTGGTGCACATACCACTCAGTAATATGGAGGACTGGGACCACCGGGAATATCTGGACATGCAAAAGAAGTTTATGCGGGTGAGAGGTATACAGCCAAATTTCACTTGCACATTTCTGTCTGAATTCAAAGCCCACACACAGAGTTCTATCACCTTTAAATAAATTTTTCAAAATATCTTCTTTCATATTCCCCAGACAAAAGAAAGTCAGGTCATACAGTAATATAATCCACTCTAAAATGACAATTCTGTCATCATTTATTCATCCTCGTGTTGACCCAAACCTGTATGACATTCTATCTTCAATGGAACATAAAAGAAGCTATTTTGTAGAATGTTGGTAACCAAAAAATTTTGGTTCCCATTGACAAAAAATACAATGGAAGTCACATTCTTATCTTCTTTTGAAAAATGAAATGCATATTGGTTTGGAATGACACAATGCAGAGTAAATGATGAGAGAATTAACCTCGCCCTTTAAGGAAAAGAGCTTTGTGTTTCTTGATATTATGTTAAACCTCAACAGTCAAGTTGCCACATGTCATTATATTTAGGTCTAGTTTGTTTCATTCACCCTTGCCAGTAAAAGCAAATGCTGAAGCACATAGCATAATGTTTACCTCTTCCCCCCCCCCTCGCTTGTTGTTGCCCCAAAGACAGAACTGAAAAACATTTAATTACTTGGTGATGCGGTGTATCCAGAGTTCCTAATTATGTTTCTAGAGTCTGGGAGGGAATGTTCATTCCTGTGACTGCAGGCTTTCATAGACTGACGGATTCCTTGGCAACTGTTTCTCTAGTTTTTTTCACCCTCACACTTTTTTTTTCTTTCCTTCTCCCTCTCCTGTTCTTTTAATTAGAGTGGAAGATCAGTGAAATGCCAAGTGTCAGAACCAGAGGATGAGAATATAGCATAAACGACCTTTTAAACGTTGCTGATCTTTGATAAGGCCACAAATGGAGCATCTTGGTCCTTCGTCCGTGTTTCGTGTCTCACTCCACCTGGGCTGTTATCTAACAGGTCTGGGCAGCTGTGGACTCTGATGGCAATATGCAGGGGCGTAGATTACGCGGGGGACGCGGGGGATGTGTCCCCCGCACTTTTAATATCATGTAAATTCGTCCCCCGCACTTTTTCGGATATTTCACAACATTACTGCTTTTGCTGTACTTTGGATCAAATAAATGCAGGCTTGTTGAGCAGAAGAGACTTCTTTATAAAACATTAAAAATCTTACTGTTCAAAAACTGTTGACCGGTGGGTTATATAGATTACAGAAATGTTATATTCTAATGTTATATATTTATTTATTTATATTTATATATATATAACATTTCTGTCCCCCTCACTTCTGAAATGATGGCTACGCCCCTGGCAATATGTGATGGATAGGGCGGTTAAGCACATCATCAGATAGACAAAAGAACTGAGATCAGAGGTGGATCAATAATAAAAAAAATGCTTCATGGTTTTTAAAAGCATTTTGTTGTTCCACAGTTTGCAATGCAGTTGCAAAAATGTTGACAGGTGGTTGCTAGGATGTTCTGATGTGTTAAAGAGCCCACCAGTATTTTCTTTAGTATTATTTACATAGTATTATAGTTTTTATTCATATTTTGAATGAGCTTTATATTTATATTTTCAGTTTATTTTATTTAGTAAATTTTTTATGTGCTTTTGTCATTTTTATTAGTTTTTTATATTATTTTAAAAATATTTCTATGTATTTTTAAACATGTAATATCTTTATTTCAGTTTTAGTAATTTTAGTACTTTCAGGATGTTGACAAGGAAACATTTCAAATTTTTATTTTCTAATTATTATTATTTTTAAGTTATATAATATCTATATTTTATTTTATTTCAGCTTCATTTCAGTTACCTAAAACTGATAAATACTGTTAGTTGTAGTTGCAATCAACAATAAAAACACTGGAGCCCACCTCGAATAAGTCTTTATATATATATATATATATATATATATTGTGGTCTCTAGAAATGGCTTAGACCTTCCTTAAATCAATGGAATTTGAAGATATCATCATTTTATCGTCCAGTATTTTGGGTAAATATTTGAAAAGATATACTATATTAAACAGCTAACATTTACTGTGTAATATATTAAAAGGTATTGCTCACTGTAAACCCAAATAGTAAATCTTTGATAAAGGAATTACTCAAAATAAATAAAAACGTTCATTCGCCTCTAATTTTTCGAGTAATTAGTACACAAATGTAATTTTAAGTTTACAGCAGTCAAATGCTTTCATTTGTTTTTGGCAGTGTACTCAAATAGTTTTAGTACAATCCCGTTTGACGTCACGCATGTGCGTACAAGGTCCTCCTTCAACTAGCAGTTTCACGTTCGCGAAAAGACGCCATGTTTTTGTTGCTCGCCTCGGCTGAAAATATGCTAAACTAAGTTTGCAATACGCGAAAAACTCGATCGTATTTTATAAAAAAAAATAGTGTAAGAGGAGATATTTTTCGATCGGGAATTTGCTCTGTTGTTGGATTACGAAGTTAATGCAGACGACCTTTGCCCCGAGACGCAAAGAGGTCATCACTGAAAACCTACCTGTTTGTGAGATCCTGGAACGCTGGCCTGCCTTTAAAATGGAGTCACAGGTAAATTATTTTTCTTGGTACACTTGAAAATGTGTTATATTTAAAGGAATAGTTCACCCAGAAATGAACATTTGCCATTCATTTACTCTCTCTCTGGTTGTGCAAGATGTAGGTGACGTTCGTTCTTCGGTAGAATGCAAAAGATGATTTTTAGCTGAACTCATGGTCCTTGGTGATTTATCAAATACAGGTCAACAGGTGCCGTCACTTTGTGAGTCAAAAAACAAACAAGCAACACAAAATTAATGCCTGGCACAGAAATCTTGAGCTCCAGACTCGTTTTCCTGGTAATGTCATGTTGTCTATATCTGCTTTTTGACTCACAAAGTGGTGGCACCCGTTGACTTGCATTTTATGAATCACCAAGGACCACGGGTTCAGCTAAAACTCATCTTTTGCGTTCTACTGAAGAAAGAATGTAACCTACATCTTGGATGGCCGAAGGGTTAGTAAACTGACAGCAAATTTTCATTTTTGGTTCCTTTTCAGTGTCAGGTTTACCCTAGTTGACAGTAGAAGTTTAAAATGTACACGGTTTACATATACCTTGGCTTAATCACTTATTAATTTGTGCAGATCTGTTCTGAGTTTCACAAAATTACAAATGTCAACCTGAAGAACCACTTCTATGCCGTGTTGGACCAGCATGCTCCCCGTCTTCAGAGCTTGTTCAGAAAGAAAGCTGCTCGCACAGGAAAAGTGTCTGAAGTGTCAGCTCTTCGGGATATATGACCTCCAGGTCAGTTGGTTACACTTCTTGATGCCTGAAAGTAACTGCAGCGGATTTAAATATTTTGGTTGTATTGTCACACACAGACTTTTTAGGGTGATGCATAGGATTGTGTGGCTGTGCTGATTAGATTCCATTTTAAATCAAGATTCTCATACTCAAGTCTCTTAATTCTCACACTGAAGGAAAAAGTTGACGTCCATGTACGACGAGCTGCCATCCTCCGTGCTCTCCCTGCCTATCTGCAAGAGGATGACTCCAACTTTTTCAAGACATGGGATGTAAGTGATCATGTTGCTTAGAATTTAGAGAGCTAGTCCACTCAAAATGAAAATTCTGCCCTGTCCTTAGTTACACTTTCTTTTGCAGATCACCAAACAGTTTTTGGTCCAATTGGCTTCCATAGTATGGAAAAAAATACTATGGAAGTCAATGCAACCCGAAACGGTTTGGTTACCAACAATCTCACCTGCAATTCAGATGTCATTCAGGTTCTAGTTTCAGGTTTTTAATATATTAATTAGAATTGTAGTTATTGTTTGGGATAGAATGGTTTGGAATAGATGTAAATGTTACTTCTTAGCAGTCAGCCTTTGGAAGTTTAGAGTAACAGTTCTCTGTGCCCTGTCCTTAGTTACACTTTCTTTTGCAGATCACCAAACAGTTTTTGGTCCAATTGGCTTCCATAGTATGGAAAAAAATACTATGGAAGTCAATGCAACCCGAAACGGTTTGGTTACCAACAATCTCACCTGCAATTCAGATGTCATTCAGGTTCTAGTTTCAGGTTTTGAATATATTAATTAGAATTGTAGTTATTGTTTGGGATAGAATGGTTTGGAGTAGATGAAAATGTTACTTCTTAGCAGTCAGCCTTTGGAAGTTTAGAGTTAACAGTTCTCTGTTCTTGTCTTCAGGTAGAGCAATCTGATGAACCTGACATTGATGATGTACCACTTGGTCTCCTCTCCATTAGTGGCAATTCAACAGATGCCACATTCTTCTGCCCAGAGAAGATTGCAGTTGTACTTAAGGGTAACATGGTTACCGATTTCCCCACATTGGCTGATGCATTTGTCATGCTTTTTGGACTAACTTATGCCTTGGATCTAAGTTACCCAAAAGAGTTTGCCAACACATTTGACTTTACCCAGAAAGTCTTGATGGGTCTGGAGGATGGAAAGCTGAGGCCCAGAGCTTTTGGCAGTGGAGTTACCACAGTGTTTGAACAAAGCTTACAAAGGTACTCCTTCATTGTTTGTAAGCAACTGAAAAAAGCACAAATGTCAGGGCATGTAAGAACTTTTCCAGGCCCCAAAACACCCTCGGACCCCAGAGGGTTAAAGTATGATTGTTCAACGTCAAGTTTTAATAGAAAGATTTAAATGTTCAAAAATATTTACGTTTAAATGTGTTGCTGTTCAAGTTGAATAATGGCATGTTTGCACCATATCAATGTGTCATACAGTATGACAGACAATGCAGTACATTGCCGTTTACACTGCAGTGATCTTATCTTTGATTTCTGTGTGCTAAGAAGATCATTATGTGCAGTGTAGTAAATCATTGATCAAAATGGCAATATTGAATTATTTTACACAATTGTGTTGTATTTCTTTCCCTTTTTTAGACTATTTGTCTTATTTAAATTGCAGAACAGTTTCTCAGTTGATTTTCTATATAAAAATGACTACCACTGTATATGATCCGTATACCATGCATTCATCCACTCATAGAAATTACAGTTTAAAATTTTTTTTTGTTTTCAATAAATTTTAAAATCAATATTTTGAAATCTTTGTCTTATATTGTATTCTAGTATAACATTTCAATTTCTACGGTTACTGTTAGACGTGAATTTTGGAAGTGTTCCTTCTTTACAGAAGTGTTTACAGCTGGGTGATATCCAGAGATTCATATTGTGACAGTTGTTATCTTAGCCCATTTCTCAAGGGCCCTGCACTGTTTTGGAGAATATTTTTCATTTAACAAAATTTATTGTTGATGTTTGGTTAAAATTCTTTGGTAACTTAAAGACTTGCATTTAAATTGCCTGTGTTAACCTGTTTTTTTTATTTCAGAATGTGTATAGTTAGCAATTTAGTTACTTAATGTAAATGTAAAAAAACGTACAAAAATGAATAAAGTGAACAGTTTGTTACTGAGAAATTAAAACTGTTTTATGAAGGTAAAATAAATTGTAATGTAACAAATGTCTGTTATCTTTAATTTTAATTGGTTCTGTGAACCCAAAATCTCCTTGTAAAATGACTTGATCAATAATGTTACAGTAACTTGTAAGATTAAGTTAGTATCAATTAAAATTACCTAGTACAAGTTACTAAAAAAAAAGGATGTTTCTTTAACTTGTAAAACTGAGTTAGTGTCACTTAAAATTTTCGATGTAATCAGTTTCATCTATTTTTTTGAGTTATATTAACTTATCCGGTTTTACAGTCTATTATTAAAAATATTTATATTATTTGGTATTTAAAATATTTCTATTTGTTTACACCTGTCTTGAATGTTGCACACTCTTTCCCATTTTCCTGTCGACAAGGGCAGAACTCTTCCTGTTTAGCAGTTAAAATTCACAGACTTCGTTGCCAAATGTCTGAACTTTCTATGACATTGGAAGCCTTTGGGTTTTGCTCCTCTCTGGCTAGAATAATCACCTACTTTTGGCTTGAGGCTATAAACCACACTTCATAGGGAGGGAGAATCCAGTCTGACCGTCAGAGAGGCTAGTGTCAGGACATTTTATTCAATCACGTTTTACCAGCCAGAATTCAGATCATGTTTTGGTTCAGGCGTTATGAGACCACAATCCAACAGCCTTAGGGAGAAAAAGAAGTCTCACATGTTGCAGTATATGGATGTCAGATTGAGATTTAGTCCGTTTGTGTGTGCAAGGTGGGTGTTGCATTTAGAATAATGATAAAAACAACAGCAGTACTGCTACTAGCGCCACTGCAATTTCTGTTATTGTGCTATTGCGTATTTCTCCATTTTTCAAACGATTCCTAATTATTCTATGTACTTTAGAATTTTCTCTGATAGCCTTCTTTGTCTTTTTACATTATTTTGGGTCACTTTAGCCTTTGACTTTTATTCGTATTGTCAGCTTGCTTGTGCTAGACATTGTGTGGGCTCTGATATTCAGATTTGGAGAGAAATGCTGAGAGCATCTCCAGGATGAGTGGGAGGGTAAGACACTTGCACCTTGCAGTTTGTTGTCTTTTGGAAAACAGATAAAAGAATAAGTAAACAGTATGTAATCTTCAAAATTAGCATTGCGTTCACAGCTTTGTGAGAGATGACAGCAAATTGAAATTTCCCACAGGTTTCCAGGAATGAGATGGATCATAGTCAAGAGGTGAATCCAGGTATTTGATTGACACTTTGTTTTTGCTCTAGAAACATAATATCATAGAGCCTCATTTGCAGAATACTTAGACAACTTAGACTGCATTGTTTGCGTCCCGCTTCCCTACTTACCCTTACATTCTAAAGGGAAATAATAAGCATCAAGTAGATTTTTCTGTTTTTCTCAAACTACGAGAAGAGAAGGAATGTTATAGTTTGACATATAGTTTGAAAAGAACCCATCACCATATTTTTATATACTTGGCTAGTTCCTAAGGAGGTTGCTAGAGTGTTTTCCTAGTCCAAGGCAAACAAACCATGATTTGCGGTTTTATGTCCATAACAGAAATAAGCACATTTTGCAAGTACTGTACACTGTAAAAATTATTTTTCTATGTTAAGTTTGACAAGAAAATGTTATTTCTTTCTTTGTGTTTTAAGATGTTACTTGTTTCTTTGTAATTATTTGTAAAATTTACTGTCAATTTCTGAGTGAAAATGGTTTCTAAACCAAATTAAGAAGAAAAAGCATGAAGAACAGAAATAGTGATCCTTGCTTCTAAAACACCACTAAAATGGGACTTCAGACTTAACAGATTCAGTTTCCTCAGATTTTTCTGGATATATATCTAATGCTACACAAACAACTGTACAACATTCAAAATATTGATGTTGGTCACCTAAGGCACAAAGACTTCATCATTCTTCACATATGAGGAAGCAAGCGTTCAGGTGTGTACATGCAGGGCAGACACACTCATTAGTCAACTATTCATTCAGAGCAAGTTTGTGTATTCTGTTTGTCTTGGCCTCTGATTCAAGAAGTGCAGCTTGGCAATGGCACCCTGATGTTCACTGTCAACAGTCATGCCAGTTTCTACAATAGCACAATCCTTTTTAATGGATCAGCTGTCCATTGAGAGGATACACTGTGTCTACAGCAACAACAGGGTACTTTGTTTAAAAACATCTATTTAAACTTGCATTTAAAGGGAAGAAAAACTGCATTTATGTGCATATAATGTAAGCTTTGTTGCTGATAATATCTCATGTTTTCATTTATTGGCATCATTGTTTGCCAGCAGTGAGAGAATCTTGGCACAGCAATCAATGCTTTAAGCACAAAGAAATTAAATTAAATGAAAGCAATTGTTGTTAAGAAAATAAAAAGGCATTGTTATAATGAAAAAATATGGTTTTTCTTCCAATAGAAATTTGGTTAGAAACAGGTGTACCAATATAAACAAAATAACATTCACATTTTTGAATACATATTTTACTAAGACTTTACAGTGATCAGTAATTTGACATAAAAACCTGCACATACTTTTTCTTAGTTTACTTTTAGTATTTACTTTTGATTAATTTTGAATAAGTCTAACCTATTGGTTCATATTTTGGTTCCTTTTTATTTATTTATTATTTTTATTATTTAACACAGCTATGGATCACTTACTAAAGATAAAGAGAGTTAAGAAGTTACTCCAACATTCAGTGTTTTTTTTGTGGAAATGTTCAGGATATTGTGTTTTGTCTCTCTGTGCTTTTCATGTGTGCTCTCCACATATTCACTTATATAGATCTCTATATTTTCTGCATGCTAATCATCTGTTATGCAGTTTTTATGATTTCTATATTGGTTTGAGCAGATGATTTTGTCATTGGGGTCACACAAGGTCATCACAAGTGAATATCTGAAAACTTTGCCATGTTTACCTTTGAGACCGGAACAAATAGGAATTGTTGTGAGAGTGAGTCTGTCCAAGAGAGTGTGGGTGGATGTATGTGTGTGTATGTGTGTACAGGGATATGAGAGTATGAGGAGTTCTGGCAAAACAAGCATGGGTGGCAAAGGGAGAGTGTGTGAGGGACACTGATGGACTGCGTTTGCAAAATGTGGGAAAAAGTTATATTAAAAAAAAATGGATTAACACGTCTTCAGTCTCGCAGCACAACTGCTTAGCTATGCTGTAGAAATTCATGGAGATTAAACAGCAGCAATATTTTGATATACTTGGGTAGTTGGTAATCATTTTGGGAAGTTTACATGTCATTTCTTGTGTCTTGTACTCCAATTTTGAATTACAATTATTTTTAAATTATCATGCATGCATTTTTTGCATTACAAAATTCAGTTGTTATGCCACTGGACCAAAGGGAAAAGGTGACTAAAAAAAGGTGACCATGGCATCTCAATTATATATTCTTACCATAGACAATTTGAATTATTATATTATAAAGTTATACACTACCTTTTACAGTAAAAACACTAGTATTGCAAAAAATGATAGCAATTTAAAACAACTGTGTTGTATTTTAATATATTTAAAATGTTAATTTATTCTTGTGACGGCAAAGCTGAATTTTTAGCAGCAATTACTCCCGTTTTCAGTGTCACATGGTCCTTCACAAATTTTCCTGATCCTGAAATTTGAACAGTTTTGTTAGATGATAAATAACATGGACATGAACCAAAACATTTTATTTGAATGTATAAGATAAATTGTATAATTTATTTTTAAACAAATGTTTAATTGCAAAAAAATGTTCCCCTAAATCACAAATAAGCCTATGTGGTTACAGCCTTTCTTTCATAACATTTACCAGCAACACTGGTCAAGATTTAATTATTTCACGATCCTGTGTAATTTATCTCTCAGCTTGCTTACAAATATTCAAGTTGACAAATCAACCCAAAACAAATATTTTGTCAAATAGCTGCCGTCCCCTCCAAAATCATAAAATACGACTGAAAAGTGATGGAGACTCACCCAAAAGCAAAACAACAGGAAGGAAGGAGTAAAGAAAATCAATCAAGGAAAAATAGGTCAGGAGAAAGGATAGACAGAGGAATGGTCTCAAAGGACTGCCTCTGCTCCAGAATGCACAGGAGAGTATTGACGGATGTCTGTTGGCTTGAACCCACTGTGAACAGGCAACATGTGGAGATGGTTTGAAATGGTCAACCTGAAAGAGAGATTCAGGGTTTATTCTTTGCTACCTGTATTGAATGGCCTGCATGTTCTTGCAAAAGTCACTGTGCTCTCGTGTTGCTGTGTCATTGTGACTAGTGCTTTTCGTGAGGGCATGCAGTTCATTGAGTGCTTGAGTAGACTTTTTGTTATGCACTGTGGGGGAAAGAAAAGAAGACTTTTTAAGAAATATGAATTACACTATTTCATACTGGAAAACGTCAAGGGTTTATATTGCGGCATAAATGAATCATGCTGTTACTGTTATAAGATTTTATATATAAAGATATAAGATGGGCTATGTTACATTATTTGCTGACTACAAGAGTTGGTGTGCAATGAAATTCAAAAAGGGGGACAATTATTAAGACAATAGAGAGAACTCAAAACATTTCTGGACATCAAAATGCCTATTTTTTCGCTGTGTTTGCATTGTAGTAAAGAAAAATGAGAAAATGATTTTGCTTAATTAATAAAAATTAAACAAGTACATTGGTAAAAGCCTTTGGTGGGTGTAATAATATTCCTCTCCACTTTTGCTGATTTTTAATGTTGTAAAACTTTGTTAATAATCTAAGAACCAGTTTCCGTGGCAACTGTGATTGTACCTACAACTGTGCTCCTAGCCAACCTTAGGTGATGTCAAATAAAATAATTTTATTATAGGCAAACAGATGATGAAATTCATTCTTTTAATTGTTTGTTCTTTTATTTTTCATAGAGATTTTGTGTTATAAAAGTACAATGCAAGTTTGTGTGGCAGAGGTACAGTATATGTGATATGTACATATACGACTTTGCTGGTGGGTGTTTTTGATTGTGCCGGTCTTTGAGGGTGTTTTTGAATGAGATTTTGCATGAGCTGCAGGGCAATTCCATAAAGTTTAATTACATGTTATGCTCCCTGTGGAACAGAGAAGATTAGAATAAAATTAAAATGTGGTGGCGCAGAAGTGCTCCAGTGCTATGCATCAGAGCTATGGTCTTCAGAGACCCTGAATCGTCAATATATCCCTATTGCATAGGGAGAATTCAGTGGGTTGCTCCCCATTCAGTAAAAGACTTTAGGTGATTATTTTTAGTCAGTCATTAACTATTCATAAATGCTTTTTGTATCATATTGCGTAATAGGCCTGTAAGGTTTTTGAAGGCTTCAGTTGACATTGGAGCTTGTCCCCGAATGTAAAACGGTTGCATAGACAGTGGGCTTATGATTTGAGCAGAGCTGTATATGTTATATACAGTGCTGTGAAAAGGTTTTTGCCACCTTCCTGTTTTTTTTTTTTTTTTGCATATGTGTCACATTTAAAAGATTTAAATCATCAAACAAATTTTAATATTACACAAAGATAATGCAAGTAAATACAAAATGCAGTTTTTAAATGATGATTTCATTTATTAAGGGAAAAAAAGCTGTCCAAACCTACCTGGCCCTACGTAAAAAAATTAATTGCACCCTCCTGTTAAATCTTGAAAGAACTGTGATCAACCACATTATTTTAGATGGGCAAATATTCTGTGGACTGATGAGACAAAAGTTGAACTTTTTGGAAGGTGTGTGTCCCGTTACATATGGCATAAAACCAACACAGCATTTCATAAAAGAACATCATTCCAACAGTCAAACATGATGGTGATCGTGTGATGGTCTGGGGCTGCTTTGCAGATTCAGGACCTGGACGACTTGCCATAATTGATGGAAATATGAATTCTGCACTCTATCAGAAAATCCTGAAGGAGAATGTCCGGCCGTCAGTTTGTGACCTCAAGCTCAAGCGCACTTGAGTTATGCAGCAGGACAATGATCCCAAACACACCAGCAATCCACCTCTGAATGGCTCAAGAAAAACAAAATTAAAGGGATCGTTCACCCAAAAATTATCGGTCTGTGCAAGAAACTGAACAGTATTTATATCATTTTTTACCTCTGAATCATCTTTATCCTCTGCAATGTCCAACTGGCCTGAGCGCGTTCACAACACCCGGC